TGCTGAATAACAGTTTAGGGATGTGACGCTTTTAAATGAAAGCTGAAGATAAAAACGGTATTTGGGAATCGAAATATCGATATCTACAAAGTGCAAATGCTTGAACACAAATTGGAAATTGCATGGGCTAATACTGACAACATAAGAGGGGGAATTATCACTAGAGAGAAGAAAAAGCACAGTGGTGCTTAATTAACCCTGTATTTACAAGCTACAAAAATAAAGCAGAGGAAAGGAGCAGGCTTACGTTACAATGAAAGAAATTGATACTTACAGGGTAAAATGTTTTTGTATCTATTTTTGTTTTTGTTTTCTTGACGCTGACCTTCTTTACGGCTATAGAGAAGCTTGCATTCTTGCTGCTGTAAGGTCTAAATGAAAACAGCACAAATAACTGGGTTTAATAAAAGCAGTATGGACTGTTTCACCAGCCTTGTAGCGACCCTTTCTCATGAAAACGATGATACTTGACTGCACTGTCAGACAGTCAGAGAGAGAGAAAGATACCGGACTTCTCCATTCAGCCTTAGCACAGCATTGCTTCCAAGGTATACAAGGAACACAGAAGCATGAGAGATAAGGCAAGCTATTTTCCACCTGACCATTATAAACACCTACAAATTCAGAGCTTCTTTAACCCAATCTATAACCACCAAGTCCTCATGACACTGTTCTGACTAAGCAGACGCAAGTCGATCCCTTAAAGCTTTCAGCTGTAAAATACTGTGCAAGGAAAACGTAACTGGTTACAAAGGACCACAACAAAATTTTGGCTGTGGCAATCTGGCCATCTCAAAAGGCACACTAAAGAAACCAAACACCACAAGCAGGTCCAAATAAATGTATTTACTACTATGTCTTTCTCACCAAGCACAGAAGTCAGGAGTACTGTTGTTATTTCTCCTTTTTGCTGAATCAGACCAGTAAAGAGTTAAAAAACTTCCACTGACCTGCCATTAGCTCTAGTACAGACAGAGGTTAGTGACTAACGCATTCAAAACCCTGCCGACCTGCACAGGAGTCAGGCACTTTGTGATCCGGTGCTCCTCTACCCGAGCTGCACTGGACTCCTCTAGGCCTCACCAGCCTTCTTCCTCTCCTTCAGCCACAGCAAGTCCGCAGTCACGCTGCTGGGAAGCCCCCAAAACAAGTCCCTGAGATGTCGACAACTCCACAAGAGCGGATTCTTGTGAGCTGCAGCCAGACCAACTCTAGACAGCCAAGGAGGAGGAAGGAGCAGACAGAAAACCCCAAGTACATCAACACAAGCAACTGTATTTAACCATCAAGCACGGTGACAAGTCCTTCATCAGTCAGAAGCGGAATATTAAGAAGATTTTCTTGTCTGTTCCCCCAAAGCAGAAGCCCATGTGGGAACACTACAGTATTTTCCAAGGTATGGGCAAGAGAGGTAAAATGCCAACGTACAACTCACCACCACAACCACGTATCACTAAGTGCTCCAGTTATTCTCTCCTACCAACACAAGGCTGTTTCACTAAACTGGTACAAAATTTTGTGCAGATTTTCTCATATTACCCTGTTGGGGAAGGAGGGGACGCGCGTCAGGTAACTACAAACCGGGTTATCCGTAAATCATCCTAGCACAGAAAAAATGAATCTGCAAGGGGATTTCTCCTCTTGGCAAGGAGCTGATTTCTCAGTGCCTGGTTCACAATTAATATGCCAGGGACAACAGCAGTTCCACACTCCACAGCCGTGCTGCTTAGTAGCAAATCTCCCTACTTGCAACGAAGCCAGAGGGACCAGAATCTCCATGTCTTTCTTCCAAGTTTTAATCCCAGAAGCAGAACTGGCCTGACTAAAAGGAACACTCAGGCTTTGGAAGCTGCTCCCCTTGTTATTACCACCCTTAATACTCTTGCAAAGCTTGCTTTTACTTTATAACTTGGGCACGTCAGGCACATTTGCTCACTTCTATTTCGGTCTCTGTCATTGCTACGGCCTCACTTAGTGACCTTGGACAATTAGGCTCATCCTAAAGACAGGGAAACCAAAGAACAAAAGCAGTACAGGAGAGCTGTGAGGTTTCACGCTTGCGAAGCAAAGACAGAAAACACATCCCCATAAAACATCTCTTGCCACCACTAGCGAGGGGTGAAACAGCACTTTGCCGTAGGCTCGCCTCTTGCCACACCGCGAGAGTCTTTCCAGCGCCATTATCACACAGCACCTTTGCAGAATAGTAACGCTTTTGGGTCTCAGCCAAGCGAAAAGCCAAGCAAAAGAACCCAAAGCCAAACTTTGCTTGCAGGTTAAAAAATGGAAACAATTCGGTGTGTGGAAACCACAGCTTCAAACACATCTTCACTTTGTACAGTTAATTATTATTGCTTTGAGCATCCCTGAGGCAAGATCCATGAGCAGCAGTAACTTCTAACAAGCCCATTAAGAGATGTACACAATGCAACGATAAATCTGAAGCACAGTCCTCAATTTCCCTGCAACATCCAAGCAGTAAGCTCACCAAACAGCTATTTTTCAGAAGGAAAAACATTACAAGGACTGACAACGTTTCTGTTCACAGAACAAGAGGTACATTCTTAAATATGCCTGAAGACAAGTAATTTATAACTACCATCTGGACTACCAAATCATAAACAGCACAGGCAGAGATCCACGGACAACCTGGAGTTTGCCCCCCTGCCTCCTGCCACCAAGGCTGACAGCTATAGCTCACCTGAGGTGAATGAAAAAGCACGACACTAAAACTGCTACCAGATTGCTTCAATTCCAAAAACACAGTGGAAAAAAATAAGGTTTCGTGCTGACCTCACTAACAGCAGTGAAGAGGAAAGAGAAGTGGAATGTCTCACAGGGAAAATCTTCCATTTCTTACATTTACTTTCCGTAGAACTTCTGGCTTGCTAGCAAATACTCTTCTTCAGGAAAGCCACGAGACAGGAGAACACCTTGCTTCTAAGGACCAACCCATAAACCCATTACAAGACTAATTTATTCAACAAAGCCCAGAGGTCAGAAAAGAAGTCGTAAGGGTCAAGTAATAGTTCAGTCACATTTTGACAAATCAACAATCCATTTCAAAACATGCTGCAGAGGAGTGCTGCCCACAAGGAAAGGAGGGGAAAAAAAAAAAAAAAAAAAAACAAACCATTAATTCACATGGCTTCCAGTAAGCCAGCACCAATTAGAAGAAGGGCAAGCCAACAGGGTCTGCTTTTTCCTTTTTACGCCCTCTGAATAACAGTAAGGTGTGCTTAGAGCCTTCAGGGAAGCCAACAGACACCCTCTGCCTAGCTAACTTGCAAATGTCTGTTGAGGCTAAACCACGCAGCGACCACAGGCACAGTCTACACAACTGTGTCGTGAAATGACGAAGCAGACCACTAAGCAGTCTTTGGAAAAAGCCGTTAATGCCCAGAGGTGAGGTTCAGCCTTCAGCGCAGGCGTGGCTGATCTTCCTGACCCTTCAGGCCCCACATCAAAGTTCACGTGTTGAACTCTGCCAGAGAAGCAATCCAAAGGTTGAGGCCCGTTTACCTCCAGGCGAGGTTCACAAGCACTAGATGAGAACTGCACCCCAGGGGATCCACCACTCAACTGTGGGGTAAAACAGAGTTCCCAGGTCCTCAGCAATGGCCAGAGCACCTCTGCTGGCTTGCTCCCCACTCCAGCTGGGATTCTGACCACCCAGCAGTTCTGGGTCAAGGACTGCCCCCCTGCACTGGGCACAGGGGAAGAGAGAGGACAGAGCTTAATCCTCATTTTATGATTTCCCCACTTGTGACCTCACCTTCTTATACTCCATCCACGTTCGTAGTGAAATGTTTTACCTCTGTCACAAGAGCCTTTTGCTTTTCATGGATTTATTTTTCTCCTCCTGATAATAATCTCGGAACAGATTGGACAGTACATTCAGCTAATGAATATGTCTGATCAAAAAAGAGTCTCGTCAAGAATGGCTGCTTTGCAAATCCGTCACTATTCAAGAAGTTTCTCAAAATAGCATTACGCAGCCAAAATCAGCCTCTCTGACAAAGACCAGGACTTCCCAGTTTCCTATTGCCATCTGCTGGTGGAGTTCCAGACTCCACTGTGGTTTTCTCAGGGCTGTGTGGTATAAACCAGCCCATTATATTTAAGACACTTCGAAGCTTTTGGCTATGACCACCACCTGCATGCAGCTGTTCAGCGACTCCAGTTGTCAGAGAAGGGTTAGGGCCTAGGCTCGACTCAAGCAGTTTGGAGTATGTTAGTTAGTGCTCATACTTAATTGGCTCTTCTTGAGAAATTAACAGTTTCAGCTGAATTTGTCGAACATAAGTAGCTCCCTGAAATCATTAGGACTTCAACGAAGGGGAGAGCTGGGCCAGCACAGCTATGTTACACAAGAGCTGCGTGGGTAAGACAGAAGGAAAGGCAATGCTACTTTCTGCGAGGGAAATGGAATTCTGGCTGCAGGCAGAAACGAAACGCTGAAACAAAACAAACATAAATCTCCAGGAGTACAAGGAATACATCTAATCAATGCTGCTTCACCTCAGAACTTGCCACCACTTCGCAATAGTTTTAAGATCCAAAAAAAAAAAATTATTATCAAAAAGCCACAAACTCAAGGGCAAGAGCATATATTGACTGAGGAATCACACTGCAGTTTGCTTAGAGCAATGGTACCCAACCTCCCAAACACAGCGGAGCGCAAACCGAAATGTCCTCTGCGCTGAGACACGCAGCAGAAACCGTGGTGCGATTCCCTTCACATGCAAAAGACACCCGACATGTTCCAGCTGCATCACAGACCGCTGCTGTACCGGTACTCGGGTCACCAGGAGTGACCTAGGCTAGGAACTAGCCCTTTGCCTCCAGAAATGTTAATCCAGCCTACAGACCTCTTCCCGTCCACATGAAGAAAAGGAACACAGGAGTGAACCCAATTAATTGTCCTGGTGGGCCAGACACGGCTGTACGTAAGGCTCCCTCATGATGGGGAGGGTGTTCAGGAGGGATGGTGCTAGGTACTGAATGAATACCATCAAAGAACATAATTAGCTCTCAGAATCAGGAAAAAAAAAGGCAAATATTTAAATCATTTTACTAGCAGACACAAGAGTGGAACGGGTAAACTTTTAACACATGACACAGGAGACTGGAGCAAGAACAGGGATCTGAAGTGACGAAGGGGGAGATGAGAAAAAGTCTGGAAGGCAGTAACAAACCTAACTTTTCAGAGATTTAATACCATAACACTTGGAATGTAATGAAGTACCTCAAATTCTTCCCAGAAGCCCTGCTTGACTTTATCTGTAGTCTCCGCCAGCTTGCTTAGCTCTCGCACTCTGCTTTCAATCTCTGCAGCATTAATACGGGTAGTATTCAGAGGCTAAAAAAACCACAAATATTAAACAAAGGTGTAACAAATGACTGTGAGAAGACAGTTAAAACATAAATCCCCTACAGCAAGTACATTTTATGTAAGCAATTCCAGGATCCAAGCATCTATTTGGACTTCAAAACTTGGCAGTTCATAGAATGATGAGCAGTGAAGGTAGAGAGGAAGGGGGCAGGGAACAATTATTTTTAGTTAAAGTCTCACAGTTGTTCTTCAATACATTAAGTTGTCTCATTTCTGGACTAGTCCTGCAATCCCTACGGACCACGATGAAACCAAGAGAAATTCTGCATCCATCAGAGACACAAGAGTCTGTCCTTCACAGGCATATAAAAAAATTGATCCTGTTTAAATGACTGACTTCGTCATCCCATTTCAAGAAGTTTAATCCTTCAGTTTTGCATTAGGAAAGAAAAAAACAACGATGCCTCACGGAACACATGGGAAAGCCTTCACTTCAACAATATATCCTGAAGGTAACAAAGCTTAGTGGCGTCTTCTCCATTCACTCACCTGCTTGAGTTGCAATACTGTGCCCAAAGTTTCTACCATAGGGTTCTTCTTGTAATGTTCCACTAGATCCGTCAGCGAGTCAAATTTCTCCCCTCCACCAACATCGTATTTTAGATCCTTGGAAGACAAATGCTCATCAAAATAAAGGCACTTCATACGATGTCTACGCTAACATCGTCTTTGGGCTACGCAACATGCAAGAAGTTCTCTTTAAAACCATATGTATAAGAACCCAGAAAAATCCTTCTGCTCAGGGATGGAGGAACTTTAATAAAAAGAAACACACACACAGACACACTGTGGAGGACATCACCTTTTTTGTCATCTAACTGAAAGTTGTTTTGTCTGCCTTTCCAGGAAAAGTGACTCCTCCTGAACGGAGGTTCAGTCAGCTCAAGCAGGCGACCTGAGCTACAGGATTAGAATCCAGGAGGTGGCTTTGGAAATCAAGGCAAAATCCTAGAAGAGTACCATTGTGTCCTGAAGGGCTGGTACTGACTGGCACCATCCCTACTTTAAGGCAGCAAAGCTGAGTCACTTTCCTCAATGTCATAAACGCTACTAGTAGTTAACTGCATATAAAAGAGGTTTTCTTGAAAAAAAAAACCAACCCACCAATATATTCTGGTAGTTTAGCTTTTACAGTCTTGGTAGGCCATTTCTACCTCCAAACTATTTCTGTTATTGCATTTTAGCCGTTTTAAACAAGTAAGTTTTTGCACTGTCTGTTAGGATAACAGAAGAAAAAGAAAATGACAAAATCTGTGATCTATCTCTTTTTAAATAGCAACCCACAGGCACACATGAAAATATCAAAAGACTGTAATTTAATAATACTTCAGTGAAGAACTACCCTACATTAAATTCAAGCTTTAGATTTAAAAGCATTCCTTGGATTCAATACTCAAAATCTTCACCGAATGTTGATCATCTATCAGGTGCAACTGTATAAACTGACAGGAGAAACAGACATATTCGGATAGATCTCTATTTGTCCAATTACTCATATTCTCACAGAATTCATCCAGGGCACTGCATCTCACTTAAGAAGATTCATGAACATGAAAGGCTCCATCAGCAGAGGATTTGAGACAGACTTCTGATGCAATCAAAAGCAAATCCATTAGAAGGTACTTGACAGCATAGCATAGCGTGACACGATTCAGTCAGGCAAGCAGTCAAAAAAACTAAAACCCCAACAGAATTTTGATGCTATCAAATTAGTCAATTTAATCAAACAGATGATACATAGCGCACCCAGTACCACCGGGAAAGGGGAAAAGCGTTCGGCTCTCTGAAGTGCAAGACAGCCCTCCTGTTAGGATAAACCCACTGCCCGTGGAAGTAGCCCTGTTAAAGAAGCTCGTGCTTCATCATACCTGGCAGTGAATCATGACATGTGTCACTTTAGACTTCCCATCATTACTTTCTCCTTTATCATCTCCTGTCCGGACAGAAAGAACAAAGTCCCCAGGGTGGCTTTGACTCTCACGCACAAGAAAGCTTCCATGTTTTCCTTTTTCTGTTAATAGTTTTTCAGCTTCTCTTCCAGAGAGATGCCCGTGAAACCACCTTTAAATAAAGTAAGATACAGACAGGTACCGTACTGGTCATTCCAGCCATGGCTGAATCTGCTTGTTCTAACTATTTATAATAAAGTAAAACGCTTATGTGCACCGAACAACAACGCCCAGGCCTACAGAAAGCCTCAGTTTATGAAAATAAAAACCATAATAAGTCCTGGAAGTGTGAGGTACACACACCCCAGTGATTACAGAAACACTCCAAAGGAAGCACTTCCACAGGCACCGAAATCTGCATTTCACGGGAGCTTCAAATGAAGCTTTGGTTTGGATCCAAATGGATTCCCTAGTGTCCAGTAAACACAAGCTTACACTGCAACCTTTCCCGCAGTCAAGGCATTTATTCTGCTTTTATTTCCTTCATGAAGAGGCACTTTCCTGATAAACCTGTGGGAACTTAGCATCTTTGAGACCTTGCGCTTCCATCACATTAGGAACTGGACAGGACAATCACATCAAATCTCGTTTCTTCAAGAAACGTGGCCAAAAAGGCAATAATCCTCCCCACCACTGTTCAATACAAGCCAGTCTGAGGAGTGAGAGAAGCTGTTTTAATATTTTTCCTTGTTTTTTCCCTTCTAGAAATAAACTGATATCTACTAGAAATAAACCGATACCTACTGGCCATAGAGGTTTATTTCTGACATACACACATTTCCTCAGGATACATCAAGTCTAAAGTCTCAGATTCTCCTTATTATCCTTGCTCCTCAAAACAGGAGTTTGAGCAATTTGAGGATTTGCATGTTAGTCACTCTTACACACATGCCCACTGCTGGAAAAAGCATGTAAAGTTATGCCCAGAAATACATTTGGGAATTCCTTGCAGTAACAACGGCTTCAGGAAGCTTCGGGAGAACTGTAACAAAACATTCCCCAGTAAAACCAAAGGGAACTATGCCCTCTTGTTCAGTATCGTATCACACCAGGAAGAAAGTAGTTTCTGAGGCTTAGGTTGCTCTACCTTTAGTCAGGTTTATTAGCCTACTTTGTAAGGAACCCCACTGAAATCAGTGGGACCACTTCTAGTCCAAGATAGTGGCCACCCTTTCATCAAATGGAAGCCGACTGTAGGGTGAACAGGACAAGCACATGCATTTATTAAGAAGTGCACGGACACTGAGGTTTTCACCACCATTTCTCTGACCTTTCAGATGTAGGATCAGCACAGTTCAGTGGATATTTCAACTCTATAACATCTCCGTTCTTTTCCTTGAGCTGTCCATGATGTTCCATATAATACTGGACTAACTCAGCCAACGTAGCAAATTTCTCTCCTCCATAGAGGTCATAGTAGTCTCCTGTGTTCTGGATCTTGATGTGGGTGACAGCTCCAGTTCGTCTAATATTTGAAACAAAGGAAAAAACCCACACAAGTCAGCTGATTTCCAATCAATCACTTTTATATTTAGTGTTCTGTTAGAGACCAGAGAGTTAGAGAAATCCATACTTACATTTGCATCACTTTCCAACCGAAATACTGAGGAACAGCTAAGCTAGCGCACCTCTGAAGTGTGCTTCAGCTACATTTCAGGGGCTTGCAAGAAGGGGAAATGACTGTCCAACAGTCAGGAAGAACAGGAAAAAACCCCAACTTAGTTCTGTAATGAAGGGATCCTCAAAGCCAGCATAAGTTCTGCGGCCTCACGATCTCCAACAGGAACCCCTCAGACCCCCAAGAACTGCACACACCAGCAGACGGCGTGGAGGGGCGAGAAGAACTCAGCATTCTCAAGATACCCATCAGAGCTGGTTTGCTCCTTTCCCTAGAATTTCCACACTAACTGCTAAGGTCTCTCCTTCAGTCACTGTTGCCTTTGCCCCAGGTAAGTCATTTGCTCCCACAGTCTCCGGCACTAATGAAGAACAGCTCTCTGAAAGAGTCCCCTTCTGTTCAGCACGGCCCATTATCCCCAAGCTATCCAAGCAGCACGACTTATCACCAATCCCGCTTTTCCTTTGTCCTTTATCTACTTCCTCTTGCCATCCTCTCCCCATCCCTGCCACCATACACACAGCGTCAGGGGACAAGTGTTACAAAAGGCCTATTTTGGAAGCTGAAATAGCACCATGGTGGCCCTTAAAAACTTGCTCACTTCTCCTGTAAGAGGAGAGTCTGGAGAGCATTTCCTTGCACGCGCTTGATCAGTAATTCATATCATCTCTGCTACTTCCCAATGGTCATCAAATGCATTTTTAAAGGGCTAAAAGCAATGCTACTATGAATCTACTTCTGCTTCCCTTGACTTTACTGGCTCTCCGCAGAATCAGAATTCACCAACCTCCAACCTATAGTCTCCTCGAGCTGGGTAGAAGTATTTGAGAACGTCTTCAGGGAAAACAGGAGAAAAAGAAGCAGAAAAAAGTGAACAACAGACTGAAAAGTGATCTGTGTGCTCTTTCAGCTCTTTGAAGTAGTTCTTTTACAACTCTTGCCCCACAGAACAGCGTCAAATGAGGACCCCTACCAATGTGGGGAGAAAGACAAAACCATGTTTAAACTTACCTAACAGAGAGCGTAAAGTCTCCTGGGTTACTTTTGCTGGGCCGTGCCAAAAAACTGCCATCCACTCCTCTTGTTAGCAGTAGGTTTTCTGCCTCCACCCCAGTAATATTTGGATGAAACCATCTATAAGAAGTTAAAAATAAAGAGTGTTAATAAATAAATGGAAGATCTTCTGGTTTTCAGAGTTAACTTACAGGACAAGATTAAAAAGAACAATCCAACAGCTTCAAACCAGCAAGCACTGAACTTTGTTCCTAAACTAATAAGAATCTCTATCTTAGCAGAAAGTATAAATTATTTATCTCTTATTGCATTGCAATTTTCTCCATTGGTAAGAGATGCTTTCTAAGTGGAAGAGCTATACCTATACACACTCCGACTGCTTGGATAAAAATGATATCAAAGGTATACAAGGAAATAGAGACCACAAGTCACACGTTTTCCTTACTCCACAAGACAGGACACACAAAGAAACTGAAAGACAAACAGGCAAAATACTTACAAATAAACCAAAACATCCAAAGTGACATTTAACAACATTTTAAAGATTAAAAATTTAACAAAACCTCATGCTTTAGGGCACAGGCTGACCACCAGCTGATAGGGGCCAGGAAGGAGCTTTGCTTGTGCACAACCTATTCAGTCTTCCTCAAGAGAACGCGGTGCTGAGCGCTGCCAGACACGAGAGCACTGCTCCGACCTCTGACTCTCATGGCAATTTCTCTGGTCCGAACATATCCCGCTTAAATACAAACACCGAGGAATCTCATCTTGATACTCACCACCCACAAACAGCCTCCTGCAGGACTGACGTAGCGCCCTGCCAAAGGAGAGCTCTATATGGGCTCTATCTAACCAGCTCCGCGGCCCCACCTCAGCCATTAATTTTTGAGACACCTATTCTTAGCCATTCAGTTAAAACATCTGAGTTTTCGCTCACCTATAATTGAGGATTTTTATTGCACTAAACTTCACCTGTGTGTTCTGGAGGAAAGGGGTTTTTAATGAGGCACGATTTTAGAAGACAAACTAATTTAAAAAAATCAAACCAACCCCCCCTCACCACGCAGCCCAGCGACAGAGATGCGAACACAGCAACTAAGAAGCACTTTAGTGGCTTTGTCAGGCTTGTATTTGGCAATTAAAAGATGGCCTTTATTTGGCAGAGTTGCCACACTCCTCTTCGTACACGAGGTTCTTCATTTCTCCAAAGCAAAGCAAAACACTAAGGCAAAAGACTCTGCAACCAATCTCACTGCAGAGAGGAGACTGATAGAGCCAAAAACCAAACAGCATTTCGGATCGTTCCCGATACAGCCAGCACTTCAGGCGAAATTGCTAAAACAGCAAAATCGGTGAGCGCACGTCTAAATTTAGGGTTATTGCTTCAGTTGTTTCAGTAAGTCCTTCTGTACTGAAAAGTTGACAAAACTGCTACCAAGGCCTTATCCAGCCCATTCTCTTCAGAAACGGATTCTCATGGAAACATTCTGGGGAGTTTTAGAGATTCTGTAATAGCCAAACCTCTCGCAGGTCATGGGAACTAGGATTACTTATGTACCAATGCAAGTTCAAGAAGTAAACAATTCTTCTTGTTAATCTTGCCTTTTTTCTAGTTCTTCTGCTTGCATCAAGAAACTCTAGTGAATACCACCATACCTTTAACTGAAGGATAAGAAAAAAAAAATCAAACCTATGCAGCAGGGGTCATGAAAAAAAATATTAAAAAATACTTTCAAGTTATTACAGCAAATGGGAAAGAATTAATAAATAATGCTACATTTATCCAGTGACTGCTCAAAGGTGAAGAAAAGTTCCATCTTAATGCAGTCTCACAAAGGAAAGTGCACAAGCATCGCTACTGAGGATGAACCAAACATGAAAGAGCGTATTTCAGAACAGGACAGGTTGGTCTGCAGAAGCTGACAATGTATTTGCCACACTTCCACCCCTAAAATTTTACTTCCATTAAGAGAAAACAAAAAAAACCAAACAAAATGGTGCAGCAACATTTTGAACAGTTTATAAGCTTTTTGAATACACACAGGATTCAAGAGACACTTTTGCAAGTTTTTGAGTTTATATTCAAAAAGGTACAAAACTTACAAAGAAGAAATTACTGGAATCAGCCAGATTTGTCATCTGGTGACCTTCCATAAATGTTCGTTACTGTAGTATCTTCTGTGTCTTACTCTAAACCCTAATGCATCCTGAAGTAACTGTATACCAGTTGTTAAAATGATGTAAAATAACAGAAAAATAATAATTTAACGAACAGAAGGGGCTACAAATAACTTGGGCTCAAAGGAGAGGTTAAAAAGATGGTAGGTTGTTTAAAAACAAAACTCTCACCCCCACATACACTTACGCTCCTACTGAAGATGGCAAAAAGTAAGTGCAGCAAAAGAAAAGCGACATCTGGGAAACCGATGGAGTTTATGGCGCTTTATGTAACTTTTGTTCTAATGGGAGCTCGTACTCCTGCTTGCTCAGCTGCGTATTTTTGGCTTTGAGTAGGAAGATGCATTTGTCAGCCACCCCAAATAGAAAAATGGGGGTGTTCGTGATCTCTGCTAAACGGTTCCGGGCCGGTGATCAGGCTCGCTTCATTTGAAGTCCTGCCACCACATGTGCGCTTTGGAACCTCGGGGGCTGCATCCCTTCCAAAACCGGAGGGGAGAGCGAAGGGGACTGCGGACACAGACACCAGTAACATAACCCCTAGAGAGGGCTTTCTCTGACGCTTCCTTTTATAGGGATGGAATGCATTTTGGACTTTTTTTTCTGCTTTCCTTCTCCAACCTCCGTCAGGAGCAGGTGCGGAGGCTATCCCAAGCAAAGGACATCACAGCCAATAAATACAATCAAGACAGTAACCCAGGCACACGTAAACCCACGCTCTAATTAAACTAGCTGTCCTCACTATGCATGGAACACTCCTTACAGCAACCCTGCTTTCCAGCAGCATCCCCTGCCAAGTCCTTATTCGTTTGCAGTAAGATGAAAACGTTGGCAGGAAAGTAACCAGCGGAATAGCAGCGGCCTCATTTACAAAACGAAGGGGATATCAGCTAAGCAAGAAACCTCTTGATGAAAAATAACACACGGTAGGAAATACAGCCTTGTTACAATCCTCTCTTTTTTTTTTGTTAGGATAGTCCAGGAAAGATCAGCAGGAGCTGCGATTTACAAGTCATACATCGCCAGCATATTTCTCTCTTACCAACTGAAGAGAGAAAAGAAAAAAATCAATACAGTTTTCCATGCTGTGATTGGGCTTTTCTAATCACCTTTTCAAGAGCAGGAGAGATTAAATCAGTTCTGAGTCCCAGCTGTCACAACCGTAGCATCCAAGGGGGCAGTGACTGGTAGTTTTTATTCCTATTTATAGGCTCATCAGTTTATATTTCTCATCGTTTTTTCAGTCTCCCTCATAAGTTACAATTTAAAGTTCTGAGCAGAATAAGAGGATTACTCCTGACAAAGAGGAGTTCGCAAGTGTTTTGAAAAGGTAACTTGTGTACATCTGAGATCTAGAGATCCGCCACACACCCCAAGTCCAAATTCAACTGCAAATGGCCACAGACTGAAAACCAGTTTCAACCATCTTAAGCAGAACAAGAAAGAGGACAACCCAATGTTGAACAACAGATATTGCTTAGAGAGCTACCAAATTTCAGAATGGGTATGTTAGATAAGACCATAAACATCTTTTCCCTTTTTATGACAGTAACTCCTCTTAAGATTAACATTTACCTGAACCCTTCAGCCCAAAAAAACACCGCTAAAATAAGACAAGCATGGAAATACATTAAGGACAGTGACAAGTTCCAACAAAAAAAAACAGATTCAACTCTTTATTGCCCCGATTTTGCAACGCCACTAGGTTTTGAAGTTAGATCGAATGCTGCTCATAAACCAAGAGCTCAGATCGGGTCAGCTTACGGACACTCGTTTTAAACTTGGCTCACGTTTTAGTCTGAGTAACGTCGGTACTGCTGGACTACCGACAGCAACACGACCCTCCCTGGCTTCGGGTGTCAGACTGAGTGGGCTGCCACACGAATAAAATTCGTCTCTCGGCTCTGGTTCAAACGCACACGCGGGGAGACTCGCTTGAAACCCCCCACACGAAGCCAACGGTACTGTGGCAGCTCTGGCCTCCGCACGGGGGGTCGGCGGAGCCCG